TCACGTAATTTTATTATATTTGTTTTAATATACTCTACATCCTTGGGTGTGACTGCGTGATGTTACTGCACAGTCTAATTTCCATCCTTGATGTTTTTTTTGGTGTTTTTATACATTATACTGTTAAATTCTTCTTTGCACTCGTAACTCTTCTCCTTTTCTTCTTACACACCCTCCTCCAACTGTCTGTGTATTCCCATAAAATATACTGTGAGTTAGCAGGCTGAGCTCACAGCCATGTGTATGAGTTAGTGTAGAATTGTCAGTTCTGCAAAGGGGAAGTGAAAGCATTAATCATTAACAGTCACTCATACGTTCTCTCAGCATGCTAACTTTTAAAAAGGGAATTGACAGTGGAAGAAACATTTCCTCTTTTAAGTGGGAAAACCTGAATACTTCAGGAACTACTGTCCCACAGTGGTAGTATCTCTGTGCTGCCACTAGAGGTCAACAGTGTATTAGCTGTTTTTCCTTTGGTTTCTTTACTTATCTCAAGTAAAAAAGGAGCCTTTTTTGTGACCAGCTTCAATTTGATTGTATCTGAATGCAAGCTACAGTGTACTGTAGGGCTGCACAATTAATCGAAATATTATCGAAATCACAATATGGAGTAGTCCAATATGCAAATCGTAAGAGCTGTAATGTTTTGACAAAGGTAAAATGTGTGGCAAAAATAAAAAAGCATTATAATGAAGTACTGTGGTGCTGCTGTATAAATCTTGTTCTCCAGATTTGAGAAAACGTGTTTGTTTGGTCCGGACTAAAATCTTTTTTCTGATGATTTTAATGGCTAGTTTTTTGTGAAAATTCAATTTGCAATGCAAAAATGATAATTCTCGCATAATAATGAATCACAGTATCTGTCAAAATAAATGTAATAGGATGTTTATACCATAAATACTGTAGGGTTCATTTTCTGTCAATGGTCTCCACTCCGTAATGATAGTTTTGAACTGTTCCATATTAATAAAGTTATTATTATTAATCCTAAATAAACACTTCAATAATTAATCATGGCTCTAATCTCTGCTCTTCTCCTTCCAGACATTCAGGAGTACTACGAGTTGACCATCCTTGAAGACAGCAAGTGCTCTGTGGACCAGGCAGACGGTCCAAGGAACGTCCCGGCCCCCTGTAACTTGCCAGCAGAGCTCTCAGCCCAACCACAGCCTTCCTCTGGTCCCCTGAGCCCCCAAGCTTCTGAAGGATCATTCCAGCCGAAACCCCTGTCCCCCAGACCCAAGTCAATCAAATCCCCTGCCCCTCCAATCCCATCTGGAGCACCCACAAGAAAACCATCTTCCCCTACAACACAGTCCACTACACCTCAGTCACAGCCAGCCAAGGTCAAGTACCGTGCTCCTCTCCCTCCTGTCCAGCCTGGGGCCTCCAAATCATCGGCATCAGACACTCCTATGTCCTCTTCTCCCACATCTCCTGGAGTCAGAGTGAATGGTGCAGAAACCCCCACTGGTTCCATAAAAACACCTCCTGGAGTATCACTGAATGGAACAACAAAACCACGTCTTACTGCCACCAACTCTGATGTTTCTTCAGGAAGCTCCACCACAAATTCACAAAGCTGTTCTGTCTCACCAGAAGTCAACCTGGTGACTGTCTCAGCCCTCGTCTCCAGCACCATCCAAGGCCTTGTGTCTCCAACACCAGACAAATTTACCACCACCAGCCCAGGTCTTAACAGGGTCACAGACGCTACCACAATCTCTACAGCTGTTGTGACCAGCAAGGACCCAGGCATAGGCAAAGCCACTCCCAGCACGAGTCCAATTAGCCCCAACCAGGGCAAATTTACCTTCAGCAGCCGCAGCCCAACAGTTCAACCAGGGCCTTTGATGAAAGGGCCTCATCTGAGGTATGTCCAACAAATGAGCATTCATTTTAATTGTCAGTAAGTTGTAGCAAGCCAGACTTAACAAATGGTAACTGACATTTTAACAGACTCAACTGAATTTATCTTTGCTTATAATGTGTTGGATGCATGTTGATGTATATTTTCAGACTTCCAGAATGTTATCAAACTGTTATATTTGATTAATTCACTCTTTCAATTTATATTCTGTCAGTGATAGAAAAGAAGAAAAACAAAATTACATTAGCTATTAAATGCCATACTGTGTGTACAATAAAAATGTATGCGTATGTCAAGTATAGCAGTACAGAATAAGACACGGCAGTTTTCCGAGTTCACCTCCAGACACCCTCTCTCCTTGATTTCTGTTACTAGTCCAACAAGCCCTGGGCCAGTAAAAGTCACCTCCACTAGTCCTACCCATGGTCCATCCAGCCCCAGGCCAGCTACAAGCCCACTGACCCCCAACAAGGTAAGACATCTGTGGTTGTTTTATATTAATGCCTTAGGAAACTGCAGGAAATCTCTACACAGTTAACAGCAGAGTATAATTCATATCGCCTCCTTTTCAAAGGAGGGTGAGTTGGGTGGTAGTAGGCTTGCCTGATTCTTGAAGAGAAGTGAGGTTATGTTTCCTCTCCTGAGTCTTGGAGAGAAAACTGATAAATGAAAATATAGACTCCGTTATCTCCTTGTGTCTAGGAGAGCTTATCAGGTTTGGTTTGTGGTTTGAAAATAATTAAACCAGAGCTGTTACTTTATGTCTAACATATCACTTCTCAGAAATGGGAGTGGTTTTGATATATGGCAAACTGGTCATCTCTTTATCCCTTTAACCTGTATATTGAAAGGCTGCTGGTGGCTGCAGAGAACTGAATTAGATGGGCAAATCTTGTTTTATGCAGACTGTCTGTTGGCTTACATTGCATTACATAATATGACAAGGGGAATCAATTCAGTTCTATAACATTTTATTGTCCAGGAGAGTCAGCACAGTGAGCTCAGAGATGGCTCATGCAACTGGTGTTGTCTTGTTGATCTTGCTGAAATGGAAAATCGGATGGCTTTGTGTAGTTTGGGCTGTTTGACCACAGGCTGAGACTGTACACATCGTTGCTTTGATCTGTTGCTGATAGTCTACATTTTGGGAAATTGTGTTGATACTGGCTTACTTAGCTTGAAGTTGTTTTCAGTACACTGCTGTACGTGCATCAGGCAACATTTGTCCTCCCAGTTAAATACTGCTTGTATTGTGGAAGGGATTGTGTATTGGGGGCTGCTCAGGTGTTCCTAATTAATTAATCCACTAATAATTGTAAACTGGGGTGGTTCATTTAGTTGTCTTGTCAATCGGACAAGGAGGGACTACTGCCACAAGTGTTAAATTTCAATCAAATGTAACACATTTTTTTTGCATTTGCGTTGCTCATTATCCGTTTCTGAATCGTTTAATAAATGCGATTACTAGTATTAAATGGCTATAGAAGAAACCCAATAGTAATGTTCATTAGCACAACCCAGTGCTCTATATACTCACTCTATGTTGGCAACAGTGAGAAACCAGAGAGAGAACCAACAATGAGTGCAGGGCCAGTAGAGGGTGGAGCAGGACAGAAGTAGAGTAGGACAAGAACAGAAAGCTCCAAGTCCAACATCAATTGTAGTGATGTTTTGTATCTCGAAAAAGTCCAATATCTTGAGGGACTGAACTCCCATCTCTGTGTGAAGCTTCAGGGTGCATATGGGGCTTTAACTTCGCCAATACCCACAGTCAAAGTTGAAAGTAGAGCATCCATTGCTATACCGCTGTTACTGTTCACTCAGTCTAACCCCCCCCCCACTCCTGCCAAACAGAGACTGACCTGATAAAACAGCAGAGAGTGGTGTGTGTGTAGTAGTAGTATATGTATTTGTGTGTGTGATCATGTCTGTGTACACATGTCTGTCTGTGTGAGTGTTTGCCTGTGCATCCATGTGTATGCGTTCCTACGCCTGTCTCTGCATGTTTGCCTGTCCGTTTTTTGTGTGCTGAGTGCCTTCTGCGTGTGCACGGATACATATTCTGAGCCATGCACTTTTTGAGGTCAAAATGTGGCTACCAGCTGCCATAAAACGAAGACAGCAGCTGGAAAACAACAGGGCGGGTGGAGGTGCATCGGGACATCTGCCATGTTTCCGAGTCGGCCTCTATTTTAGCGGAGAGGTCCTCTCTGGCTGCTCTGATGGAAGGACAGGTGGAGAGGACACGAGAAAGGGAGGAGAGAGAGATTTAGGTATGAAAGAAGAGGATGAGAAGGAGGAGACAGAGACGGGCGGGCAGCAGAAGGATGTCACCAACAGCAACAAGCGGCTCACTGGTGGAACGGGAAAGTTGCACCTTGAGGATGATTCGGTAAAAGTTTGCCAGTCGGACTGGTGAGGATGGACTGCATCTGTATCCTCACTACTAAGGTGAGACACAGAAAGAGAGTGGGTTAGAGTAAAGCAGAGGAAAAGATCAGGGCATGAGTAAACAGTATTGTCAAGGTTTTGCGATCAGTGTCCCTTGTGACGGCATGCATTCATTCATTACAGTGATTCATTTTAATGTTGAAATTGTCTGTGAATTGGGTGCTAAGCTTTGAATGTGCGAGATGTCCTTACGTGATTGTTTCTGATAATGTACTGTCATAGCAGGATTTTGTATGGAAAAGTGAGGTTGAGACTTGCAGAAGCATTTCACAGTAAACTACAGGCTTGGAAACAATGGAAAACTATGTGCACCTAGGGAGTTACATGTTGTGAATGAACAGGGTATAAGGTGACATCTTACAGGAACAGGACGTACTCAAGTGAAGTGACTCTAATGGGAATGCCGAGCTGTTGCTCAGCTGTTGGTCTGACAACATGTGACACCCTGAGAGACAGGAAACTAGGTTGATAGGACACACACTTAAAAAGACTAGCTATCTGACTGGCTGTGTGGATAGTTGACTGATTAATTGGTTGACTGACTGACTGGTCTCAATGCATGAGAGAATACTTGGCTAAAACCCTGGCTGGCAAAATTAAACACATACATTATGCACATATGTGCATGCTCAGAAATGCATGGCCTATTTAAAAGGAGTAGAACCAATGTGAGCTGAGTTAGACTCCAGCCCTGCACATGATAAGAAGATGGGTGGATAAATTAACTGATAAAAAACTGAATTAGAACAAAATACAAATACTGTGTAGGCCTAAAGGACACAATATGCTTGGAATGAACTAGTTTGTACAGTATGTCTTCTGACTTCATCTAAGGGCAAAAGTGTTCAAAAGTGTTCCAAATGGCCTCACCTGAAGGCAGTGTGAAAAGTCTGTTGTCTTGGAGAGGGACAACATGCGATAATTACAGAAATTGTTGGACGCAGCCCCCACAATTCTAACTTTGGGGCTTTTAGACACTGTTTTATGGCCTACGACTACAGACAGCGTTGGCTCAGGAGATAGAACGGGTTGTCCACTGATTACAAGGTAACTGGCAGATCCCCAGCTTCTCTGGACACTGAGGGGCAAATTTACAAAGAATGGATTGCTGCCACTGCTGCCAACCGCTATCTGCCCTATTCCTAATTTTTGACTCAGTCTTGACTGTGCTTATTTGTGGACTTATCTGTCTTATTCTGTCTGATCTGCTTTAAGGACAAACACTTTGACCACTAGATTACCCTGCTTTCTTAGTAAGGAGTACTGTCTTTCAGCCAGTTCATGAACTAAGCTATTAGGTGTTGTCAAGCACTCTGATTGTGAGTTTAAGACAGGACAAAGCATCAAACACTACCATTGGATAACTATTGCAAAGCTGCAAATTCGACCCAAAATTACCAACCAAGATTACAATATAATTTGGTTTGATTTGGTGAATGATTGAAAGTGCTAGATCACTAAGACATAACACACACTTTCTCACGCACTCACTCAAATAAGTCTGCAGGGTTTCCATCTCACATTCATCTGGTTAATCTCGTTTATCTCATCAAGATAATGGATTAAAAAACAGAGGGTGTTCCCTGAGCTCAAGGTGGCTAGATTACTGCTAGAGGATGTTTCAGTACATCCTCTCTCATCCTGCTTCATTCATTTGTTCTTCCAATTTTCCTGTCTAACCCTGTTTTACTATGTGCATTCTGGGTAAACAGAAAAAATGCATAAAAAAGGAGAGGTTTAAAATCCAGGTTAAAATGCACAAATTAACAGAACACCTTATTATCTAAAATATACCTTGGGTGGATCAGAGATGTATTTAGTTACATACATTAATGTAAAAATCCAATGTTCCCTGATAGTAGGAAGGTTCTCAAACCTGCAGCTGGGTGGGGCTTTCTGTGTGGAGTTTGCAGGTTCACATATAGTATGTGGATTCTAATTTTCCTCAGTATTCTATTCTCTATCTTTCCTAATCCTCTTTTCCTCTCTGATATATCTAGTCTTAAACCCTACCCTGGTTTTATCAGTGTGTGATTGTTGTTTGGTCTTACTGTCACTGGCCTCCCGTGTTCCAAGAGAGCAAGAGTCCCTCGTAAGAGGCTTACCTTAGGCTGCTAATAGACTTTACAGAGGTGAAGCTATTTTAGGATGGACAAAGAGGAGAAGAGAAAGAAAAAAATGAGAGAGAGACACACAAAGAGCAAAGGAAGGAGAGAGATCTGTGAAGTCTTTGAGCAAGTACAGTGTGTACTAGCTTTTCATTTTATTGGGGGCTGCAAGAAAACTCCATGCTACATCATTCCACCGATCCATTCATCTGTGCAACTGTGAAGCTGACGCTATGGTGTAACTGTCAGCAGAGGGCACGGCTCGCAAATTAATCAATGGAGAAGGCATGAGAGGAGCGGACACGAGGGAGAGAACTTCCAAAGCACCTGTGGGACTATTGAGCCCAGAGCTATGTATCTGCAGTAGGACTAACACAGCAATGTAGGACTGCTGTTACAGGTCGCTCGCAGGTTCACTTCACGAGACTTTTAGCAAAAGGTTAAACACCCTCTCAGCTCTGTAGGATTCACACCTGAATTGGAGTCTGTAAGTCTTTGGTTAGCCGCGTCTGTAGTAGGGCTGACACCTACTGGGCCAGCACGAGGGATACATGTGAAGATGGACCATCGCAACTCTGCATCCTCAATCAATGTAATGTATCTTCACTTGCTTTACTTATAATTTATTCTCTGACCCACATGCTGCTTTAGGTGTCGTTAACTAAGAAAAATCGTCTGAGTCTTGTAGTTATGGTAGAGGGTAGCCAGGGAAACTGAGGATAACTCAACTCACTGTATTAATGTGTGGTGTATGTACAATCATATACAGTTTGATGCATTTTATTGTTGGCTCAGTATTTTTGCATGCACCGTTTTGGTTGTTTTTAAAGCTTGTTTAAAATCAAACAAAGGTGTGGGTTTGTATAGTATCTACATGTGTACATATGGAAGACACATGTCCCATGATCTTTAT